ATGATGCGAAAACGAAAATTTCAACAGTTTCGACACATTTTCTATCACATTCAAGTAGATTAATGAAGAAAATGATTTTGACAGACTATTTTATTTGCACTCTATATGAGAAAGTAATCGAAAAAGTTCTCCTTATGATGACAGTTACGCCTTGTCAATATTTGTTATTTTGCATGCCTATTCTTTCATTGAAGGTTGTGAAGAACTACTCAACCTACTCAATTTGTTTACTTGCAGTTGCGCTGATGTACAAAATTATTATTCAGAAAAAACATAGAAATTCTAACAATTTTTATTCCCGTACCAATATGTATCAAATACCAAGCTTTGATGCTCCGCTGAAGGCAGCAATCAATGAAATATCTTTTCTCTTTTTGGAATTGATAGAAGATTTCTTAGTTCTACGAATTCACACTGTTAGTCGCCTGTAGGTAGATGTATCTATGCCAATGATGTGCGTCTACTTTGCGGTGTGCATGTACATGTTCTGCCAAACAAAATGAGGGTCAAAGTCAAACACAAACCTACATCAAAGACCCGCACCCTCCCAACATCCACAGGAACACCCACACACAGACTCAAACCTAAACCCGAATGTGACAAGCACACCTACACCGCAAACCTCTGCCAAGATCCGCACATCCCACACTCACTCGCACAGCCACTTCTACACCGAATCTTATTGTTTTATTATTGAATATTTTTTTATTTGCATTCCTGTCGCTGCATTTTTAATTCAAGGTCGAGCCGTGAAAGGAGAAGAAAAAGAATATTTACGCATCTGCTTACAAGGAGAACCACTGGAGAAAAAGAAATTCCGTTTTTTTTCTCTCTCTCTCATCTACTTTCTTTTTCTTTGCGGCTTTTTTCAACAGTTTTGAGTTATTTTGCCTGTTTTTATTTTGAGATACGAGATTTTCGAAGTGTATGATTCGTGTATTTACCCTATCGAAAGTTCAAATATACCTTGTGAAAAATAGCACATCGATCTCTCATCATTCTGATTGTAATTTGTAGATTTAGTTCTAACAACAATACGTTTATAATGGAGAGGTCTAGATGTGATTATTCACAATCTCATTATGATCGACCATTAGGTGCTGCTATAACACAAACATGTAAACCTGAAACATCAGCTTGTTTTGAAGAAACATCACCTTGTATTCAAAGTGATTTCGTATTTGTTCATCATCCTCGAACTCTTGCGTTTGGTCGAAGAGTCAGACAAGATCATTTCGGTATGTTTAAATTTCAAAGAAAAGAAAATGCTCTTTGAAATAGTTTTGTAATTATTAAATTTAAAACAAGTAGATGTCTGTCATCCAACTTATTCGTATGGCTCATGCAGTTGTTTCACACCTGTGTCATATGAACCGATGTGTCATTGTGGTTCAAGTTGTTACTGTGATAATATGGGTAAAAATGAAATAAATTAATTCATAATTATTCAATAGATTGAAATAACTTAGGAATGATAACCTATCGAGATCAACGATGTCGACCTGCTCATGCTACGTTTACATGTCTTAAGGAATCAGTAACAATTATTCCACGAATATGCATACGGTCTCGCCCTTCATCTTGTTGTGATGCACGAAAAACAGAAAAAATAAGTAAGTAATTAGCAGATTTGTCGTTCGAAGATCATCAATGGAGAACGTACGAAAAATGAAAGATGAGACATCCAAACCTAACAGAGCGAAGGTTGAGATCAAACAAAAACGAATTTTCTAGAGAGAACTTTTTGTTTTTTTTTTGGTAATTTTTCAAAAGAAAGATTTTCAAAGTGGACATTCACGATGAGGGAATCGGATTGACCAAAGCTGCATAGGACAAGACAAAGAGGATAGATACATTGTATAAATAGGCGAACATTTGCTTGAAAATGAAAATCGTGCTTTTTCAAGATTTAACTAAAAAAATTGAACTATTCAACAAATTAAGTAAGTGTATTTCCTCAATTTCCAAGCCGAACTCTTTACAATGCTTTGATTTGTAAATTTAGGTTTTGATTGAAAAAAAGAAGATTGCTAGCGCAGCCCTTTTGGGGTTGAAATGTGGAACTCACATATGCTCTGTAACCTCCTTGAACTAATGCAAAATACGTAAAGTGAAAAATCTCTTGTGCACTATGGTGTTTCATAGGACCAACGATCTCTAGAAGAAGAACCTCTCTAAATTCTGCATTTCGAACAAAGAGTTTTTCATTATGTTTCAAAATTATAATGTAATCAATTTTTGGAATAAAAAAATTACGAAGTCTGACGTCTATTTTCTTCGATTACTAGAGTCTGCGATGGGAGGGAGGAGGAGGAGTGTCTGTAATGGAGAGGGTTGGAGGTAGCCGGAAAACTTCTTCTTAAAACTTCCACTCACCATTTTCTTCGAAAATGTTCTTGAGTTCCACAAAAGAATAATATTTTCTTCGACAGTGTCGTCCGAACGACTAGTCCTATAAAAAAAGATAAATAGTTCACTTCTCAAATTGTGCCAAAATCTTCTTCTATCTATTGTCTTTTAGCACTAACATTCTTGAATTGCACAGTGAGTTTCAAAAATACATACGTTTTTAGGTACTTTTCATGTTTCGAAAAAAATATTTAATCGACAAAATAGTACGTTCGGACTCAGCAGATGAAATGGCACCTAATCCCGGATAGCGCAAAAGAATTTTTAAGGAAAAATTTTCTCCAAGAAGTTTCCTAGAACTCACAGATATTTTCGAAGAAAATATTGAGTGTAAGGTTTATCTCCAAGTTTCGTAGCTCTCCTCTTTTCATCCCTATTACAGACCATAGGCACAAGAGACCCTATTACAGACTTCAGCAATCAAGGACAATAGGTATCAGGCTTTCTAGAGTTATATTGCACCATTGATGAAGTTATAACCTTGAAATATAATGAATATCATTGTTTGCGAGCTGATTAAGACATATAGTTGTACGCTAAAAGATCTGTTATAGATATCATGAAATATGTACTACAGATTTATTTAACCATTGAATTCACGGATTATAACAATAGCAATGTTAGATTAAGAAAAATGAATTAACAAAAAAATGAAACAATATCAGCGAATAGCAACAATGCAAGTGAAAAACAAGGCGCTCGTATAGAAAAAGATTTCCGTCTGAAATGCAGAAATTAGAAAAGTCATTACTTTAGCCATCGATTATTATGCAAAATAGCTACAGTCTACGACAAAATTTTTCCTTTACGTATTTTGTATTACTTTAACGAGGTTCGAGAGCATATATCTGTTCCATCATTCAATCACGAAGAGACTGCACTATCAAGCTTGTTTTTCAAACAAATGTCTTTCAGTCACAAATCCAATCATTTCTCATTCGGACAGTTACATCTTTGCCTGCCATGCACAAAAATACACATTGATCGAACTTAAAAAAAAATGATTTTTGACTTCCCATCCTTAATAGATCGTTCCTTATGTTAATCATTTGCCAGTGTTTGCAAAGAAAACCGATAGAAGAAACAACTGGATGGGTTTCGCGAACATGGTTATGCAAACTGTTCTAATTCTAATCAATCTTCGAATGACGAAGCTGCGGGTACAGCTATATGAAATCATAAAAAAGCAGCTGACCCCTATGTTCCTCCATTGCTACACCCACACCTACAGCATTTAAATATTTAATTTCATTTTGAATTTTTCATTATAAATAGTCACTCGAGATTCTTATCGGTATGAACATCAAAAAGGACCGAAAAGTTCTACAACTCAAGGTTAGAATATGAAAATATCCGTTCAATGACTGATTTCGATCATAAATACTAGGAACAACTGCTACAAATACGATCACGAACCTAGCGGCACAGAAATCCAATCAACGTAATTATTAGCTTTTCTCTCAGCTCCTGCTTTCTTCTTCAACTATAATGCTAACCAAATACTTCTCACCATATTCTCCACATAGACGAAAAATTTAGCAATGATCAACGAACAGCATATGTCAAAAGCAAGAACCGGCATAATATCATCGATGAATTATTCTAGAGCACGACGAGATATTTTTTGTTTTCACTCTTAATTTCATACTTCCTTCCATAACCTTTTTTTTTCTATGAATCGAATACTTTTGTTTGTTTTTCGTCACAATTATAGCAACTGTCAGTGGTTAGGGAATGTCTGGTAAAAATGAAGAAGAATACACAGAATATCGTCGAATATATTATGAGCCACGTGACGAGACTCATTGCTTTCAATCTTAATTTCATCTTTCCTTCCTTAATTTTTTCCGCGAATTGAATACATTTGCCTTTGTTATTTATCATATTTCTAGCAACTGCCAGTGGACAGCAAACAACTTGTGGCGACAAAAAAGAATACATAGAACATCATCAAACATATTTAGGACCACACGGTGAGATATTTTGTTTTTCTTCTCAGCTGCATCCTCCTAGATGCTGCCTAATTCGAGTTTGAGTGTAATTGAAATTTTCGAAGAAAACACTCGGCTCCATTATAGCAGACAAGCAGAAAAATGCTTTTCTAAGTTATGAATTATAATTTCAAATCGACTTTGGCACCCCTGCGCAGAACTGTAGAAATTAAATGTTTTTAGTTTAGATTTTGTACAGTTAATCATAGAAGTTTAGTAATTGATGTGTAAGTTCAGGTCGTATGTTCGAAAACTCAAAATGACCATCAGAAATATTTATTTGGAGCAAGTGCCTCCCCACCTTCTAACTGACCTTTCATGTCGTCATCGCGACGTCAAGGCTCGAAACGTCACGCGAAGAGCCACAATCTGTGCTCGTGTTTGTGTATACAGTGATCACAACATCCTCTATCAGATTAGTATTAGTATTGAGAAATAGCTTTTGCTTTGAGCTCACTAGTAATGATGAACATTAATGTTTCAAAATTACGCAAATAAGAGTTAATTGATGCGAATCCATTGCCATGAGGTTAGCACTATATTTAATGCCAAAGAATGTTCTAAATCCTATTTTTAGAGGTATACTTGATAATGCTAATTATGAGTTGGCCAGGCAATACGAACAGGTAGCTTGATGTCTTTCAGATTTTGATCTATGATGATGGTCGAAGCATCTCAGATGCTGTCTGTAGTATTCGAACTATTATTGGAAGGAATGAAATCGCTACCACCAGTATTTCAAGTTGTAGCTCTAGGAACTCAGATGGTGACGGTAGAATTCAAAGTCTATCCTGTAGTATCCGATGTAACACAGCACCGTTGGCACCGCATTGCCGATGATCGGCGAGCCGGTAGACACGTCAGAAATCTACGGTGATGAATAATTTTTTTTTCATTAATCAGACGCTTTTCTGTTAAGAGAAACTAGCATTGCTAATACGCGAGTCATCATCGAAGGTTCCTCATAAGCTCACCGGCGTCACCGTAATTCTCGTCGTTGTATCTTTGTTTAGAGTGATGGTGAAGCTGGTGGACATATCAAGAACCTACAATGATAACTAGTGTGTTACCGCGTCTGGCTTCTCTTTATAGAAAAGTGTCTGAATAATGGAGAAAACCCGTCAGCACTCTAGGTTTCTGATGCGTTCATCAATCCTACGGTACATCATAGATACGATGTACCGTCACTGTTGTATTCCTAGTTGAATTGGTCCAGTATATCTTCACCATTCTGAGATGCTAGAAATACATTCTGAGACGCTCTACTTACTTTTTGCGATGCTACAGACACATGCTATGGTGCTAGAATTGTCGTCTGATATGCTAGAATTACCTCTACAAATGCTACATACATATGCTGAGATTTTGCAGATAACATGTTCAAGTAGCCCTTGAAAAGTGTTGTGTGTCGAGTACATTTTTGTAAAACATAAAAGTGACACTAACTGAATGTTGACACTTTAAGATTAATTCACTCCCATAACACAAATGTTGTAGCATTAGTTTGAATGAACAATGATAATGATAATTCTAATCAGACACGGCTAGTCAGGATCTTTGATCCTTTGCAGTGGTGCCAAGACGTGAAGGAAAAGCACATACACCTTTTCCATGTGGGAAAGATATGAATTCACTCAGCTATTGCTACATCTGTCATATCAACTTATGAGGAAAATTCACAGATCGATTTATTATTTTCGAATGAAAGCTATGACCATCCTGTGATATAAATGAACTATGAATATTCTAAGAACTCGAGCCTTTTCATTATGATTACAAAGATATTTCATTTTTACATTATTCTTTAACTCGATGCTATAATGCCTCTCAGGAAAACTCATTTTCTAAAGTTCAACTTAAAATCTTGCACAGTGATAGGTCTTAACAACAATATATTATTTGGAAGCGTTTCTGATCATTTGTTTTGCTTCTATCACGAAATAAAAACATTAATTATGCTGATATACATGAATAACGTAAGAGAGATGTTTTCGCTATTTACACAGAAACAACGGAAGCTCTGCAACTTTCACAACGAACTATTCGAATTAAGACCTATCAATGTACACAATTTATAGTGGAAACTCAAACATGAATTTCGTCGATATTCCTGAGGAATTTCGCAGCAATAAGCTAAGAATCCGAACTCTTTGTAGAATATTGATAGTTCATTCTTATCTACGAGAGATGAGATCGGTGCATGGTTTTTTTTGAAACTGATCTGAGCCGACTTACGACAGTTAATACTCACCGTTTGCGTTCATATCGAGCCCATGACAAGATCTTAGTAAGATTAAAAATGATACAAGAATAAATTTCAATGAACCTTTCGAAGCGAGTTAAGGTCGTTTTACTGAATTTTTAAGTTAGTTTTAGTTATTGGATGAAAAATCGAAGAATAAAGTTTCGGCCTGAAATTTTGTCGATAAATAGATCTAATGAGTTTAACAATATTCTGAAAATTTCTGTCAAAAAAATATTCTTTTATCAAGATAGAAAATTTTCAAGTAAACTCGATTTTTGTGGTATGTGTAAGGCAAACGATTGCATATTAAATTCAATATCTCCAGATAGAACATTATTTTCAACTGAAATTTTCAGGCTACTAGAAAAGTCATTAGTTCTATTTATGAACAGAATTTTGAGTTGAAGTTCTGTTATCTGATGTTTTGGTAATTGCCTAAAAATCAATCGAAAATTCAGTCAAATGATCATAACTTGGCTTGAAGGCACATGAAAAGAAATTCTTTTAGCGATTTTATTAAATCTTGCCGAGACCTCCTTGTCAGCTGAAATGGCGCATACCATTTGAGGTAATTCTCTCGTTAGTTGCTTAAAAGTGTCAATCGAACCAACCACATCTTTAGTATCTACGTTATGTACATAGTATCGACTAGAGATATGCAAAGCCAAACTTTTTTGGTCTGAATCCCGATAACACTGTTTTCAACGATCTTAGTTATGGTAGTCTCAATAAATTTGAAGTGGGCCCAGTCTCAGTCTAGAGGGAACTATTTCAGAATTGATTCGTATCACATATAAAATAATTCTTCAATCATTGTTTTTTTTTAATTTTTTAGTCCATGACTAGCACGTTTCGGGTCATCCATCTTGATTTAGGTTCTAATTTGTAAGATAATTTACTTAAAAATAGAGAATATTTGACTATAAACTTGAGTCCCCATCGAGACAACTTTTCTTTCACAGTCTCGATAAGGTTGGACTAAAATTAATCCTCCACATCTCCAGTCTTGACGGAAAAGTAATTAATCGGTTCGAGAACTTGCTATATAAGACCCATCATGAGTGATCTCTTTTTCGGTTTATCCGCATATACGACAGGAGCAGTTCATGAGAACAAAAGCTAATCATTATCGTATACATATGGCTCGCTCATATGTCATAAGAGTCGTGTTTAATGTTATGTGCTCCAGTTCTTATTGACAGTCAACATCATCATTACATGTGTATCCTTCGAATGGATGGAAAAAGGCAGAAAGGAAAAATGTCGAGAACAAGAATATGAGGTGAAGATGAACATGTAGAATTGAAGGTAGAGTGAGGAAGATTTGTACTTCAATATACTCTCGTTTTCAACATTTCTATCCATCTACATTTGTATTATTTTTGTTTTCGATATTTTTATTTTCGACATTTTCCCCTTTCGATATTTTTTCTTTCTGCCTTTTCCATCATACCTATCTTTCTTGTATGAAAATCCAAAAATGAGTTTAACCTAAGTCACTGCGTATAGAAGAAAAAAAGTTTTTTTTTGAAATTTCACACAATAATTACTTTAGACACGGCATTAAGATCATACAATACATATTCGGACTCTGCAAACAATTATACCACTTCTTCAAAACAATCACAACCACGTGAAGTTACCTTTGATACTTCCTAAAGATTCAGGTCTTTGAGTTTGGCATCCAAGTACACATCAACACCATATATTACAAACTTTACAGGATGTCGAACTAATCTTGAACCTTAATGAACTCAAATTGTCATAATTTTATAACGAACGATTTTCCTTTTACTTTCCAATTTTTCCATCACTTCTTTCTTTTTTTTTGTGTAGATATTCATTCTTTCTCGGATGTGGGTGTGGGGTGTGGTTTTGGATATGGTGTGTTGGTGTGGGTATGAGTGGGTGTTGGTGTTGGTGTGCGAGTGTATGTGGGTGTTGATGTGAGGGTGTGGGTGGGTGTGGGTGTAGGTGTGGGTGTGGGTATGGGTGTAGATGTGGAGACCTCTCTAAAGTCACCCACCCGCACACGCACACCTTTGTTATTTTGCCCAAAATAGTTTTCTTAGGGCGGAAAACATCGAAATTAAGTGATATTTGTTGCAGGTCTATCACTTAATCATTTAATTTCAAGTGAATCAAGTCTTAAGTGGAAAATTTAAACTTCATATTAAGTTAAGTATCAAGTTGTTTTATTAACATTTTAATATTAAGGAATTAAGTTTTAAATAGAACAACTTGAAAATTAATATGAAGTGTTAAGTAAGACTTAACCGAAGTTTATGTTAAGATAAATGGTCCACTCATAGCTACGGGGTGTGGGTGTGGGTTTGAGTATCATTGCCTCCTTTACACTCATACCCACATCCATATTCACACACCCACAGCCTCACACTTACACCCTCACCCACACTCACACTCACCTCCACATCCACCCACAACCTTTTTTTGATCCATTATGTGCATCTTGTAGAGCATTATATATTGTGTAGGAAAACATATTTAAGATCTGTATAGTTTAATCAAGGAGATACAAATAGTATCTTGTCTTACACGATTATACATATAGCAAAACGTAGTATAAAAAAAAACTTATTCGTAGAAATCATCGTCATCGCGTTACGTTGATTAAACCGATCCCTCTTCAAAATAAGAAGTTTGTTTGAAGAGTTCTTTTTTCCACTATATACCTCAAACTGTCTCCTACAAAACGTTCATGGAATATTCTGTTAATGTAGCGCACATTTGTAGCAAAATGAAGAACAAACAGATCATCCTCAACTTTTTGTCCCTTGTTCATCATCGTGTTACGTCACCTATTTTTGCTTGAATTTTCAAACGGTTCATTCAAACAAGCTCAAATTTTCAGAGACTTTGGCGATGGCAGAAACACATCTAATGATAAGAGAGAAAACTTACTAGATGATCTAATTTCTGAGAAAAGTTAATAATACCGTGACCAAAACGTCATTGCGTTACGTTTGAGAAAGCCGCTAAACATAGAAAAATGAAAGAGAAGAATGTTATGGCAAAGAAAACGAAAAAAATAATGTTAATCCTTCGAAGCTTTTGGTAGGTTAGATGAGACCGACGACGTTATTTTTCGTCTTTTGCTACTTAAATGCTTATACTTTTCCGAACGATGTTTTTTCTAATAGTTAGTCTTCTAATGATACATAAGAGTTATTTCAAATTTTGTGAAAAAACCTTAGAGGAAAAAATTGACAGGTCGGTCTACATGGATCCTCTAACAACCTTGGCGTTCTACACATGATTTCGATTCTTATTACATCTACTATCTGTTGTCCTTTGAGTTTATTTGTCGAATATACGATAATTCCTTTTTGCCAATAGTGGCTTTGGTATCTGTCTATCTCTATCTAACAAAACTTTTGTCATATTTCAATTGAAATATTTGTGTCGTTGCTTCTAATCACGACGACTATATTCAGATTTTCTGGACAGAACTAAGCCTTAAAATGTCGAGAGTTGTCCAAACACAAAGAGTAGAATATTTTCTTCATTTTCCAGATGAAAAAATAACAACAAAATTAACCCTGAAAAGATTTCGAGAAGTGCTTTTATGGTGTGGGGTATGAGTGTGAGTGCTTATCTTTTTCTCACCCATACCCTAATTTGATGCTATTGAAAATAAAATTTCTAATAAAAATTTTTCTTTTTAGATCTTCAAACAACTGCAAATGGTATTCGTCAAGATTTTAAATCTGCTCTTGATAAATATAATAAATATTAATATGAAAAACTTTTAACAACACAACCAACTACACAAACATTTCCATTTATGGCTATTCGATCACAAAATCATACTTATATACGAGAGAAAATGATTGAAAATGGAAATAATGAACAACAAATGCGTTATCCAACTGAAGATATTCGGTTTAAAAATTAAACCACAATCACTAAATATTGTACCAATTTCTGTTATACAACAAATTCCTTTAGTTTCAAATGTTTATCAAGATGATAATGAACAACGTGAACAAACACTAATTACTCAATGTAAGTTAACGAAGCTAGATTAAGGCGTATGGATCAATTTCGACAGAAAAGCTCCAGAAATCGATGGAACTTCCAGGCCGAAATGTCATCGGTAATTTTCGGCTAAATTTCGGTGGGAAACGGCTGCAAGTCACCGAAAAAAATCCGAGGGCTTATTTTGAAATGGGCAATAGAACTATATAAAATTATATATATGTATTTATCATTTGAATTACTTTCTTCTAAATCAATTTCTTCTTAGTCTTCTAATGGTTGACTATCAGCATTATCCATTTCTGAACCACTTTCTTCAACATGAAGATTGTTATCATCACTTTCATCCTCAAACCAATTAACCTTCAAAAACGTATGTTTTGATCATTTGAACGGTTTTATTCAAGTATAAATGAAAACCGCGGGGGAGAAAAAAGGAAAACTTCATTTTTATTGTTTGAAAAATTGATTTTGAAACAATTGCAAAGAAAGTTGCACTTTTTGGCTTTTTAGTATGAAAAAGATAATTTTGCCTTCTTTAATTGTGCTTATTAGATGCATGACATTTAAATCTACAAAGACAAAATAAATAATGAAAAAACTGAAAATTTTGAGTCGGAAAAGGGGAAGATTCCCTTAAAGTAAAGTTAATTACCATATATTTGGTATGCATTGATTTGACGGAGAAAAGATGTCGAAAATGATATTAATGCAATTTGAATAGGTTATGCGCATAGCATAACGATGATGAAGGTAACAAAGCTAGAATAGATGCATTTTCAATAATTTCCACTTCAACCTTTTTTTTATTATAAGTGCTTTTTTTTCTTCGACCTTTTTTCTTTCCGCTACATCAATATCAACCTTTTGATTACTTAACTACTATCGCTGCAATCATTCACAAAGTAAATTTGTATTAATTGATTGCAGCGAACAACAATAGAAACCATCACTGGAATTAATCAACATATTAATAAAATTCTAATGGCATCTCAAGATGAAATTCATCATCATCATCAACATAAAAATGTTCAATATACGAAATCATCTTTTGCTGTTCTACTAGCTGCGTTTTCTTCATTGGCTGGATGGTTTTTTGGATATGATCAAGGTGTTACTGGTGGTATTGTTGTCATGAGTTCATTTAAAAATGACTTTTGTATTGGTGTTTACGCCAATGCAAGTGTTTGCGATCTTCCAGTAGCTGCTTTGCCTGCCGATTACAGACGATTTATAGTACTCTTTACGTTATTGTATAATTTTGGATGTTTTATTGGTGCTATATTCATTTCTTCATTTGTGGCCGAAAAATATGGACGTCGAGCCATTATTTTCACTTCAGCAGTTCTATTTTTAATTGGCACTTCCATTGTTATTTTTCCATCAGGTGGTTCGAAAAAGATAATGACTTTGATACTTATTGGGCGAATTGTCGAAGGAGCAGGTGTTGGATGTTCTTCATTTTCTTGTCCATTATATGCTTCTGAAATAGCTCCAACAAATTTACGCGGAATGCTTTCTGGATTTATGCAAATGACTATAGTAGCCGGCTTATTTGCTGCAAATGTCGTAAATTTCTTAATCCAAGATCATAAATGGGGTTGGCGATTGTCAAATGGAATTATTTTAATCGCTCCAATTACAATTATGATCGGTATATTTTTCTGTCCTGAAACTCCTCGATGGTTATTCAAGAATAAGAGTAGAGAATCAGCAGAGAGAAGTTTACAACGTATTCGTAGAACAGATAATGTAACTGCTGAACTAGATGCTATTGCTGATGCTATACACAAAGAAGGCAACCAACGTTCGACCAAAGAATTATTTACAACAAAGAAAATGCTTCAAAGACTTGGTATAGGAATGGGCATACATATTTTAGCACAAACATCAGGTATTAATGTTGTATTTACATTTGGTGGTATAATATATGAAAGTGTTCTTGGAAAGGGTATCATATCATTATTAGTTTTGTCTGGCGCACTTGTACTCAGCACATTTCCAGCCTTATTCTTATTTGATAGACTAGGACGTCGAAAACTTCTCATACTTGGCGCCTTTGGCATGGTAGTTGGCCATTTTGTAGCAGCAACAGTATTTGCTACAGGTTGTGGCGTAATCAAAACTATCACCAATGACACTACAATGAATCATGAAATTGTGAATTGTGAAAGAAGTTCTGGTATATTAATGCTTGTCTCTACAACTATTTTTGTATGTTTTTTTGCAATTTCTTGGGGACCAGTCGCTTGGATTTATGCAGCTGAGATTTTCCCTCTTAATGTTAGAGCTAGAGCTGTTTCAATAACGACAGGAAGCTCCTGGTTTAGTTGTGTCATCATATCATATGCACTCGAGTTAATAAATCCATTAGGAATACATGGAGTATTTTATCTTTTCGGTAGCTTTTGTTTATTGGCCGCAATATTCGTATATCTTTTTTGTCCAGAAACGAAAGGAGTTTTATTGGAAGATATTGAAGAAGAATTTGATAGTTTTCAGTTGAAAAATAGAACAATAATAAAAGTCTTGCGAACATTATGTCAGGGGAAATAAAAAGAAGGAATAAAATCATTGCTATACCAATGCAATAATCATGTACTTTGTTTGATGCTCCTTGCTTATTCTGAATATGTCATCTTTTACTTCTCATATCTTGATTTCATGGTTTGTTTATTCATATAATGTTATTCTTTACTTGTTATCTCCTTTCTTTCACTTTCTTCCACAGTGACTATTTATCGTTGATTATTTTGTCGCTTACCTCTTCTCTTCTCATATTTATATTATCTTTCTCTCGCTCTCTCTCGTTTCATATATAAGGCAATAAATGAGGTTTCAACGATTGATTCTATGTAGGAAATAAATCTACTGGAAAGCGAAGGGCTGTAATCGAAAAAGAAACAGCGAGACAATAGGGGAAAAATTTGAAGGAATGGGAGAGATATAGGGCTCCTAACTTAAGTCTTATGCCCTAATCATACGAAGATGAGTTCAGTTTGCATGAAGATTGGCTAAAACGTACGATAAATTTTCATTTGAAGTGGTGTCGCTGTGATTTTTTGCTCTTGGAATTGTTTGTTGAAGTAGGAATGTTGAGTGTTTTTTGATTGTGAAACTATTGGTGGTATTATGTATATATTCTATGGATGTGTATGCGGAAAATCTCAATACTGCCCTTAAGGTTTTATTTTGGATAATTTGTATCCGTTTCCAAATTTTTTCGTCTGATTTCAAGAGAAGCGAGAAACCATAGGTAATAATTGATCTAACTAAAGATTTAGATAGATTTATCATTATATTGTTGTTTGAATTTGAATTTAATTTAGACAGAAATCGAAGTAGACTTATTCGTGGTGCTACACTGAAAGAAAAGGTACCACATGAAACTTATGAGGTTTCGCGGCATTTTACTATACCTTATAAAGTATCGTAGGACACGACAACCTTCATAAAGTTTCGAAATCTCCGATGTTTCGTATAAAAACCTTGGTGGCTCGTCTGAGCCAAAAAGGTTTCGTAGTCGTAGTATACCTTCTAAAGATATCGTAGGTAAAAGTTTTCGCATAGACGAATCCTCTGTTTTTATGTCCAGTATGAATAAATATTCACTAATCAGAAAGGGTGGGTGTGGCTGTGGCTGTGAAGTGCAGAGACAGCTGCTTTGAAGTACTACTACCACATCCTTTTGTCTATTGTTCTGTCTAATTATTGATTTATTTTCTAAAAGATTCGTCTCTTACAGATTAAGTGAGAGTTAAAACCTTTGCTCTTTGCTAACTGTTTCGGCATAGATACTCTAATATCAATTGAGATCGAGTCACCATATAATTTAACTACTTTCTTTTAGGCGTTTTTTGCGATGTTTGAAGAATAAACCAAACGAATCAAAGAACAACTACTGTTGTTTCTGTTGTTAATATGATTGTTGATTAAAGATTTTGTTATATATGTGAGATTTATTCAGAAAAAATCTTGTTATACATGAATATGAATTTTGTTTTTATTTTTTCAAAAAGAAAAACAAAGTCTTGATGAAATTAATCATTAAAGAAAAAAGAGAAACATGATAATTTTCTTTAGCGTATAGTTATATCATATTATAGATAATAATTAAATCCAAAGAGAAAATCTTGATATTTGAATATCATTTCGACTATTTGGAAAACGTGTTTGAACCATTAAATGATAGGGTTCGACTTTTTCAGGATCAATTTTGCCATAAATATCAAGATAAACAAATTGTTTTAATTGTTCGACTAATTGACAAAGATCTTGTTCAAACACAATAACATGTTCATCTAAATAACAACAATTTTATTAAATTGATTTTATTCTTGTAGGAATAAATATATTCGAATTCCATACTTATAGATTCAGGTGTACGTAGAGTTTGTCTCCATTGTCTCATAAAATTTCCACATAAATTTCCAGAACTAAAGTTCGGTCGAACTCAAAGAAATAAAAAAACAAAAATGAATAAATATTAAAGAAATATTTCTAAATTCAAAAAAAAAGTTTTTCATTTTTCTTTTTCAAACAAAAAATATAGGTAATCAAAACGTGTTTTGTTCATCTTTTTTGTAAAATCTTTCAAAAGAAATAGTCTTATTTAATAGAAATTTTTAAATGAAATAAAAGTCATTTGATACATTTTCATAATTACTTTGACTAAGATTTCAATTCATTTTTTAATAAGTTCAAACAATCAAAAAAGTAAATAAAAGTTCTATAAACATTAGATTATACGTTTCACACATTATAGCCATATACTGTTGTACAACTCACTGATATCGTTCGACAAAAACAGTCAATAGAAATTTAATCTAAAATTTTGCTGCTTCTTGTCTATATACTGTAGCAGATCAGAATCTAAGATCAATAGATAAATATCAAGAGTATCCTTCCATTTTAGCAACTAGGACTCAAGACCAAGTAATATATAGTTCTCCGACCTTCCTTACACTCTTTCACTTTCAGAATAACTAAGCAGTAGTTTAGTAACAAAAGAATTAATAGATGGAACATCAATAGAAAGAGAGAAATATGTATTCGAAGCATAGAAATAAATAAAATAGAGCATTTCTGTAATAATTATACTCTCTTTGAAGACGAATTTATGACGAGGGAGAAACAATAAACTTCAATTCTAAAGTCTCATGAAGTCTTCCAAAACTTTTGAAATACGTTTAGTCCACGAAAAATTCTCTACAAAATTGAATTTTTTAAATACTGTTCAAGGTATTTTAAAACAAAGTATCATAAAGAAAACTTCGTATAAAGTTACCTGAGAGCTCTCAGAGTTAATTGTCTTCAAGGTATTTATTACTGTAACTGCTTGTTTTCAGTGATCTTATTTTAGTAGAAATTTTGTGAACTTTTATTGTTTTGCTAATTAATATGTCACAAAAAAATTTTAAGTTTATGTCAACTTAAAAATGTCTTATCGTTAGTTGGAAATTCAATGGTTTCTGAATGGAATTGTTTATTTCTGTAGAGAAGTGTTCCATTAATTTAGTATCAATTGTATAATGGATATTAATTAATTTTGTTTTTATTTTTCAAAATACTTTATTAGTTGATTATCGACTAGTTTCGTCTATCGATAACCGGCAAGTAGTTTGCTCAAATATGAGTTTAAATTTATATTTTATATGATTTCTAAGTTTTCTGACATCTCGCAAAATCCTACGAAATATTTATAAGTCCAATGAAGTTCTATATAGTCTCTGAAGTTCTCTGTAATTTCATGAAGTGTTTAGAAGTCTTCTAAAATCTAATAAAAGGACTTGATCAATAAAACATCAGTTTTTCTCCACTCTGAAAACATTATAAAATAAAAGTATCTTAATAGTATTTAATTTTCAACTAAACTTACTTGATGTCCAAGGAAAATCATCTGGTCTCCAAAGACGTAATGTTTGTAAATAAGGCATATAAGTATTCAGAAAAGGTACAAGATATTTGCCAATCTGAATTGAATCATTTTCACCAACATTACAACTCGAAATACCAAATTCAGCATATCGAACAGTATTTAATGCACTTTTTCGCAAGTAATGAAAAGGCTATAAATGATATATGATAATTATTTTATTTAATTATATAAAATTTCTTCGGCAATCAACTTTATTCTATTCGATTTCTTTTTATTTATATTATTTTAAATAAATATACGTTTAATTTAGAGTTTAGTGAATTAATTTGTAAAATGAAATCGAATTCGATTTATATTTTCTAATCATCTCATGAGTCATTAGATTTATTTCTTATTTGACATTATTATAAGATTAGAAAAAAATCTAGTTGGAAAAATTAGTTTAAAAATTCTAACAAACAACATAATAAGATTTTCAAATATTTAATGATCTGTTTGTCAATTATATATTTGAAAAGTTTAAATCAAATCAATACTTACATATTGAACAATATATAAAAGCCATTCAAATTTTTGAACAAAAAGATATTTAAGTTGAATAGGCATTGAAATAAGAATAGTAAGTAGTCTGGCGCGTTCTCTATCTTGATATGTCAATTCTCTAGAAGGACCTAGAAAAGTAAATCTTGTTTAAATTCTTATTTATAATAAGAACATATAATTTTAAACATCAATATAAACAAGGATTGATAGTTCTACAATGAAGGAAAAAGTAAGACTTCATTTATAATTTCAACGGTGCTTCGAGTGAACAATTACGCTACTAGATAACAGTAACTGATCATTTTCAATTGTAATTCACTTGTAGTTGAAAATAAAATATCATTTTTTCTTGGTCCAATTTCACAATAGTATATTTTCGTAATATGCAATTTTAATGAAGTAATGAAAAATAAAGAACGAATTATATTATCTCACATTCGCTATCCTCTTTATCTAGTCACTCTCTCTTCTTTTATAGATCGTGATAGACATTTTAATAACATCATCTCTTTTCCGTCTTCATAAATGGCCATATGTCTATGAAATGAAATTCTACAACAGGGATGCACCAATTACAAGGCGAAAATCAGAATTTAAATTAATGCATCCCTACTCTACAATGTAATTGTAATAATATACTAATGCATTTTATAAAGATAAACTTGATTCTCTTAAGGTGTCTATTACGATTAGTGAGATTTGAATAAGAACTAAAATAACTTTTTTTTTTCATATTTACTATAATGTCTTCCAATCAATAATTTCTTTAATAATGGACATACATTGAAAGCATAGAATAACTTTAAAAGTTTAAGATATATTGTTAAATCTGTTCGGTCACAATATAAACAATTGAATTATGGCTTACATTTTAATTTCAAAATATGTTCTACTATCAAAACTATTTTATATTAATAAAATAATACGTTGTTTAAGTATTTCATGAAATTGAAAAGAAAAAAAAATAATTTTTACGTACCAATACGACGACGAGAACAATATCCAAATCTAAGTTTTGTAACATTTCGAAGTTGACTATCATTTAGATTTTGTTGTCCCATTTTGAATGGTGTTGTCAATGATCGCACAATATTTGGTTCAACGTCATAATTTCCTATACAAAAGCAAATTTATTCATTTTAAATAAATACCATTTAACTTTGTTTCTATAATACTTTATTGAAAAAAAGATATCAATTGAATAAAAACAAACTCTATTCAATTACTTTGTTCCATTGAATAAAACAATCAAATATAAAAAATATCAATGTTATTTGAAGATATTCACTAGAATCATGTAATCCGGGTAGATTACATGTCGGATCGATATAGTCCAAACATGAATTAAAGTGCAAAGTCGTCGAATCGAATCAGATTCAAACAGAATTTTGTATTTGCTATTCGGAGACATCTGATCGAAATATTATACTATTTGGATGAAACCATGGGTTTCCTATTTCTGAAAAATAGTTTTTTTTTTCGATTTTGATATTCAAGCTAGATTTATCATCGTCGAAAACAGTCAGAGCTAATAATAAAAAAACTTTTTTAGTACATAAAGTTTGGAGATCTATGCCATTTTTTAGGAAGAATTCAATGTAATTATTTATAACAGGGATATATTTATGGGACTTTTATCAAATTATCCGTGTTTGTAGAGTTTCTGATGCAAAGCATTTAATAAAAAGAAATTTTCAAAAAATAAACTTTGTTTTTCATGGAAATAGACTCAAAACATTATAAGTAGTGAAGGAAACTACTAGAAACAATTTGTCAAAATTATGTAAAAATATCATTTTTCAGAGTTTTTTGATTTTTCACTGCCTATAGTATTTTGAGTCTATTTCTATCAAAATGCTTAGAATCAAAAGCTCTAGAAATACGGATATTTTATCATTCTGGAGCGTGATGGAAGTCCCACAAATATATCCAACGATCAATACATTGAATTGTTCCTAAAAAATGGCATAAATCTTCAAGCTTGATGTACCAGAAAAACAAATTTGTATTATTAGCTCTGTCTGTTTTCGACAATGATATGTTTAACTGGAAAATTAGATAATTTATTTGAATTTTTCAAAACTTGTTGGAATTTTCATTATATTTTTCAATGTAGAATTTTCTCAGTATCCTGTCGAGCAAATAAAGGTAATGGAGATATAAAGAAGTTGAGCCAAGTAAAATAATCTCTGATAAGAAATTGTTAACGATCGATAACAACACTATATTATATCATTTCCTTCATGTGATCCACGACGTCTGTAAAACATTTATACCTCTAAAATTAAATACTCGTTGGGTTAATGCACATATTAACGAAATCAATTCTTAAAAAGGGTCTGATCATCTCATATCATTCAGTTCAAATCTTAAAGTCTGACATTCATAACAGCCACATGTGAAATAGACATCACACATTTTTCATTCTAATCAAAAGAATCCATGAAAGAGCACAAATATCAAATACTTTCTCCTTTGTGCACAAAGAATCTCACACTCCATTTACGTTTTCTGACCATTCCAGATTATTCCTTTATCTACTGATCAATAAATATTAAAATCTACGTGGAACAAGCAAACATCTTTATATCTTCATCATGTTTCTATTGTATAAACCTACTACTCATTAACACAAAACTACAAAAACAATCTAATGCAAACTTTTACATATCCTATCAAAGAATAAATTTTTTTACAACTTTAAGTAAGTGTACACACACTCTCCGTGCTTCCAGTACAGATTGAATTCATATTTTAATAACTCGAATTTTCACGCCACTGTTTTGGTAAACACATAAATCATAATACATTTCCACGAGCGTCGCTTGCACTCTTCCTGGCTTGATATCCTCTGAATGTGCGTGGAGGCGTGTATTCAGATCTCGGCACCCTCATCTGGCGAGGTGTCCTCCTCAGTGTGTACAGATGTGTGTTAAGAGCTGGTGGAACTCTCAACTGGGGGATACTTTCTGAGTGTGTCACTATTATCTCTAAGAAAGAACCATGAGTATAGGATGTGTGCTCGTTTTGGAAATTCATTCGAGGTTTCTGGGAACTCAAAAGAGACATCATATGAACTAGAATATCAAAATCGAAAAAAAAACAACTTTTTCCAAAGTGTAGTACAAAATCCATGGATTTTCCCATTTATTATTCAAGTTTATATTTAAATAGAAAAATAAAAGTGACAATATAGTTTCTTGAATACAATCAAATGTATGACAAATACAGTTATCTATCCTAATAAATGAATATTTATTGTTGTTAGAAAAAATATTGACGTACATATTCACAATTATAGCATTGCTCTGTCATTACCTTTAATTCTATCGTTGTTACATCCTTTACAATCGATTATTCTACAGAGAAAATATTAAGATAGATGATTCAAATGATTGTGAAAAACTTAATATCGGTAAATGAATAATTCTTCATTCTCATACGATCCGATAGACAAACTGTTTCAAATATGATCAGTTTCTACTGCTAAATTGGATAATAAGTGTCAAATTAATCAATAAAACGTCTATTCAAACAAACATCTGATCGTCAAAAATGAAGAATAAGCGAACGAGAGTTTAAATTTATAGTTATTGGCACATTTTTTAGATCATGACAAAGCAACTAAATTTTCTAGCACTTGATTCATTCCGTTTTTCTTCATTGTTTCAAGTTATCTCTTTTATATATTCAACGAAATTAAACTGAATATTTTTATTTGCACGAAATAGAAGTTGTTCAAGTGACGAATATAGTTAACTCAGTTCAGTTGGTATTAAACTATCGAAAAAATGTTCAGTCTGATTTGGACTAGAAAATTTCTTTTTATGAAGAATTCTTCTGTTTACTAAGATTTATTTTCATCCAAAATTAATAAAAAAAAAATCAATATCTGGAAAAGTGAATGAATGTTTAAAAACTAAAATTAGATCAACTTAAATAAAAAGAAACAAAAATATGTAATCATATTCATTGAACTTGATTACTTATTGAGTTTTGCATTGATCATCAAATCTGTGAAGATCATTATGAAATATATTGGAAAAAAAATTTACCTATATCAATTGTCATAGAAGAAATATTAGGACATAATTCATCGAATTGTTTGAGAAATAAATAAAATGATGGACGAAGACTATTTTGAATATGTTCAATATCAGACCATTCATATATATATGGATGCTTACTTAATAAATAGAAAAATAATTTCATAATAAAATTTTCATAAGTAAAGATAAAATCTCTTACAATAAAAGGATAGAACGTTGAAATTTCTTAAGATTAGAAGAGAATATATGTTGATATGAGGTATTTTTATCATAAAAACATTGAACATTTGTCCATTGATGATCAATAAAAAAAGAATTTATTTTAAAAGAATTAATTATTTTCGAAATATTATTTAATGATGAATGACATTTTGCACAAATATAAAAATAAAAATATTTTAAATTAATTATTTGATCAGGTAAACAATATTGACGAATAAAATTTGCATCAATAATAGATTTCCATATTAATTGATCTGTCTTCCATGTATAATTACTATATAAATGAATTTGCAGTTTTGTAATATGATTTAAATTATTAAGAAGCCATTTTAAATAAGTAAATTCAAAATCAGTATGAACAAAACTTTTCAATGTAAAAATTTTCAATCTTGGTACCTATTTTACAAATAATTAAATTACAATTTTCAAAAAAACTTCAACTTTATTCGACAAGCAAAATAAAAAGGCAATTATTGAAAATAATCTATTTACATTACTTTATTCTCTTCTTTACTTTAGTTGAACAATTTTCAATAATTATTTCAATTAGATATATCTCTAATGTCAAACTAAATCATCGAAACGCATCACTTTATGCAATGCTTTTCTCTTAGAGATCACTTCAAAAGATCCATTTTGTTAATTTTACATTCGATTTATCCTTACTTGTATTGAAATTGACTATCTGATTAATCAGTCGAGTTGACATAGAATAGTTCTTTTTTATTTTTCCTTTTTTTTACATTGTTTTTAATTGTCAGTTTAGTGAAAATAGAAATTCACTAAGAGAGAATCCGAGTTTTTTATCATTAGCAAAAAGTTAATAGATTTATAGAGCAATCACTTCTGAACAAAATCGGAAAAAAGTCGATTTTTATTATGAAAAGATGATTCTAATGATAAACTTATTAATGCAGATCTTAAAAAAACTCAAATGTCTCGTTCATCTTTATGAAAACTAATACAAAAAACTAGTTCTAATAGACGATAGTTCAACGAAGGAAAAGCGTCATTTCACTTTTACTTCATGGATGTCACAATTATCCTTTATTGAACTTCATAGATCTTCCAACAGTACTAGAAACTTTATATGAATTAGATGAAATATTGCTTTATTTTTTGCCTTTCAACAGATGCAAATCTGTTGGGATCGATTAGAATCTAAATAAACTAATTAACAAGTTGAAAAATCCGACTCAAGGATTTCTTCTCGTATCGTCTTCTAATTAAGTATGTACGAGTTGTAGAAAAGTTATCAATGATTGATTTTTTTTCTCCTACAAGAAACTCGAATATTGAGCAGTCTGCTATTAAAACTTGTTTGCTTTTGTAGGCTCAAATTTAAATAATAAATACATAAGGATCAGTCCATACATAACTCTAATAAATTCTTCAGGATCTCATTAAGTTTAGATCTATTCATTCCAGGATCTATCGGAATCTAAGAGAATCCAAAAGCATTCATTTCAATCCACTATGAGCTTTGAATTTTCAATTCGCTTATTTCTCTCTTACATTGATAATTAAAAAAGTGCTAGCAAAATATATCATTTAACTAAAATTACATCATGTTCTTTACTTGACTGTCTGCTGATCAGATGATTCGACATTTTTCTTTATCTTTTTTTGTTTATCAATACAATGAATTATTAACGAATGAATTTTATCGTCTTTTGACGATTAATTGTTGAAATGTGCAAAAATCTGTTCAAACTTCTACTCTTTTCGTATTGGAATCGTTTAATAATCATGCACTTTTCATATTACTTGATTATGATGTCATCAAAGAGAATCTAAGCTTTTCTTACAAAACTACTTAATTTAATAACAAACTTGTTGTCTCGATTCGAGTAATATCATTCATAGTACCACACCTGGCGCATTGTTCAAATGCAAAAATAGCTTAATATGAACTAACATTTACGTATGAGATAAAATTTAACCAAAGAGTTTTACAAAGAACAAACAAGTAGAATAATCTAATATACATCTTACTTTATTAAACCAATTTCCATTTGATAGTTTTGGTATTTGAATATTTGAATCAAGACGATACTTATCGATTAATGAATTGCGAAAATGAACCGATAGTTGTTCGAGATTGGGCACATATTCAATGAGATGTTCAAGAAAACAGGTGTACTCGAGATGAATGAACAAACGCCGTAAAGTTATACAATAAGATTGAGATTCATTAGAAATTTTGTTTGATAAAAGATAATCATGTGAATTTAAACTTTGATGAATTTCATAAGACAAATTGGCTATATCGAGTTGAAGAGAAGTTAATTGACATTGATTAGAAAATATTTGACATAAAATTTGTTTAAACATACTTTTTATCTTTTCTATTTAATTATAAAAGAAAAAAACAAAAAAAAAAGTCATTTGTATCATTAGAACATTTCAAATGTTTTCTATTTGTAAACGCTACCGAAACACAAAAGTAGAAAAATAATAAAACAAATCTTTTTCTTCGTTGTATTAATCAAAAAGCAGATAATTCTTTGTAGAAATATGCAAATAAATATTATAATTAGAAAAGAAATTGATGATTAATATGTGCGATATCAGAGTATGAGGCCGTAGGGCCATCCATCTATATATACATAATATCGGGTGTCTGTATGTCTGTTACCGGATGATAAGTTAAACGTTTGAGATTATACGTTAAAGGAGAAAATAGCCGTGCAGTATGCACGGGACCTCGCTAGTAATAGATATTTACTCCAAAAGAGAAAACTTATATAGATAAGTGAACAAAGTCTTTGAATATATTTGTATAGTTATCAGTGTCAAAATAACAGAAATCAGATAATATATCCTAGCAAACTGAAATAGTTATAAAAATAGTAAATTCTCTTTTGTAAAACACGAACTAGAAGGAGTGTTGAAGTATGAGGTTAAAAATTTGGACCCATCCTTCTCCTTCCACAGACCGTGATAGACACCTTAGCAACGTCTCTCTTCCATCATAGATCATGTCAGACATCATAGCAATGCTCTATTCCAGACTGTGACAAACATAACCTCAAAACTGGAACTTATGGTATATTTTATAAATTACTAAAAGGGAAACCCATAAGTTTATAGGCAAATTAACAACGTCTAGGAAAATATTGATTTAATTTCGACTGATAATTGGAAGAGTATCGAATTTATAGTCAAGTGTCTAAAATTGATTTGCTAAACACCCTTTCTATTGGTGACAGCAGTTATTTCGTATTTTACATATTAATCCCTACAGAAATTGCGCTAACAGCTTTTTTCGTAATTATTAAAATCTATTTTGAAACAATATGAAAATAATTATTATTCAACATATAAATCATTTTAAGTAATCAATTATCTTTTATACAATCTCAAGATCTATCAATGACAGTTTAGAATAACCAACCTTCGACGATGGTCGATTTTGCTTTCTTCATAAAGATAGTTGATATCATCAAAACAATTGCTCAACAAATATCTTTCATATAGTTATGCATTCAATAAGCGCCTGATAATTGATGTTTTATTCAAGTTACTGCTTTTAAGGCAATGATGCGCAATTCCAATAGGACAAACATCAGTTTTCGGATCTCATCTTGACTGAGACATTACTGACAATTAGCGACTCATTCTCATCCTCTAGTCTCTACTGTAGAGAGACTTTTACTTCCAAACAATAAAATCGAATCTTGCTCATAAAAAGATCTGTTAAATGAATTGTTAATTACCTCGATCAGAAAGGATTGATGAAAGTTCGCGTCCATAACCAAAAGTTTCATATATATCTTCATCAAATGTTAATGTAAGTTGATTTAATTGATATTGAATAAGAAAAGATAATGTTTGAATTAATGATTGAGATAATAAACATCGACTTATATAAAGTGATTTAAGATTAGGAAAACAAAGAATTGATTTATCATTATAAGAAAAAATATCTTGATAAATTAAATTAAAACAAATTGAATTTGTTCCATCAAAATGAATATATTTAATAGAAGAACGAAGAGATAATGAATTAAATATTAATGGTAATAATATTTTAGAAAATTTTTTATAAGATAAACCTGGTTTATTGAAAATAATCCCAGTTTTATTTATTTCAAATATTGAACAAATAAGATTATCAATACGTTTATTTAATGACCAGAATGATATTAAGACTTCATCCCATGAAAAATATAAAAATATATTTAAAAATAATTCATTTGGAAATATTTCTAATTTATTTCTCATTTTATCTAAAAATAAACTTATCTTTTATTTTATTCAATTAGAAATCATCATTTGTTTATTTTTTTTCTCTTTACATTTTTTTTCAACGTAAAAGAAAAAGAAAACAAATAGTTCTTGTCATATTTATCTATTTTTTTTTATACATTTTACTCTGCCCTCTTATATCCATCGTGCCAATCAAAGAACCAAACACAACGAACGAAATTTTAGCAAAGCTCTTCTATACTTTTCTATTGACAAGGAAGATTTGACGGTAGATGTGTTAGTTAACATAGCATTTGCTCTTTATTCGTATTTAACAACTAATATCAACAATCACACAGACGAGGAAAAGTTTCCAAGTACGAGTGTCCATATTCAACCGGATATATTACAGTTTGTAGAGTTCGATAAACTGATCACGATGACATAAAGCGTTTTCTCCCATAGACTGTCTTTGATGAGTTTGATCGATCTCAATTTTCAAAGAAATCATTGTAAGTTATTACTTGAGATACCTCAATTTTTATGTTATTTTAGGTCTCAATATTCGAAGCTTTAGCGTTGGATGCTCTTTAATCGACTGTACACATCAATATAATCCATTCAAATCGAAGCGTTAACTATGTTCATACTATGAATATTTCAATACCATTGCCCTTGGGAATGTAAGAAATTCAACTGTTTTTTTATCAAAATTCATTTAGTTCCATGTAAAATACAATTGTATGTTCAGCAACGTAGGACATACATAAAAAAAATACCTGTTGATCCCATTTCAAATATCTGCCTTATGTATTGCATTTTTTCAAATAAATATACAAACAAAACAAAAACTAAACAAAATGCAGGCTCCTGGAAATGAGATGGCTAATAAGGCTTTAATTACCACGTCTTTCGAATAGTATTTTCAGAGAATCTTAATTAGGTTTTGAAAAAAAAACAGTTGAATTTCTTAGATTCGCAAGGTCAATGATATTGAAATATTCATAGTATGGCCATAGTTAGCACTTCCATTTAAGTTGATTATGTTGATGTGTACAGTCGATTAAGGTGCATTCAACACTAAAGCTTCGAATATAAAGAACTAAAATAACATTAAAATTGAAGGATCTAAAATAATAGCTTACAATGATTTATTTGCAAATTGAGATCGATCAAACTTCTCAAAGACAGTCTTCCGAAGAAGAACACTTTATGCCATCATGATCGGTTCATCGAACTCTACAAACTATAATATAGTCGGCTGAAAATGAAGACTCATATTTAGGGACCTTCTTTCATGAGACGAATCACATGAATAAAACTTCAATTCGACGATTTTTTTCTGTGTTACAAAATAAGATAAAAGAGACAAATTTGTCCGTTTTCAATTTCTATTTAGAGTCAATAACAATTCGAAGGATACTGATAAGGAAGAATAATCGAAAGGCAGAAAAAGTTTTTCTAATACTTATTCAAGAGAGTGACACTTTATTCCTTTAAAGGATCCTTCTCAGAAACCAACTTTGTTATTTTTTCATCCGATTTCAACCAAAATTTCAGAGAATGTTAGTCTTGGCTAGAATAGATTATGGTTAAAATATCTCCCACAAATCTTAAAGATATGCACAAGTTCTAGTTAATTCATTGGTCAAAAATACCCTTGACGCAAGCCAGGTTTTCAACATAAGGATACTAGCTAAGCATGTCGGCGTGGTTTTCAAATTGTAGAGTTCCCTTAGGGCTAGATCCTCACAGGGCCCGATTTTTGAATTTCCTTTGTTTATTTTTTAAAACCTTTTTTCGAAAAATTCACGAACTCATGCCCAAAAAAGTTGCTAATACAAATGAAATATCTAAGTTTTTTATTTCAGCAAAAGAGAAATTCAAAAATTGGATTCTGGAAGGATCTAGCCAAAACTGTCTACTATATAATAAAAAAAATTATCATTTCTCTATTGAGTCGTTATTAAAAAACCTTGCCTACGTAAACGGTATGCTCGAAAAAGTTGATTTTGAGAAAAACGCTAAACAAGTTTTAGAAATCGATTTTTTTTTCATTCAAACTTTTTAGATTTTTGCGGAACATGCGTCAATTATATATATATAGATTAGTGTTCAGGTGAGGCTAGAAATATATGATCTTTATCTTAAGTGTTAGGAGTCTCGTAATGATTAATATAAAAACGCTTCGGTCAATGCTGATGCCACTGAAACGGCAGTTTTTCTTTAAACTGAAAAACTTGAAAAAAACCACGAAAAGCATGATAGTAGGACCCAAGTTTTAGCCGATTAGTCCGTCAAAATCAGGTCATTTTGTGAAAAGCTATATGTATTCTGAAAGAGGAGACTTCGGTGCATCTTCCTATAATAAAAACTCAAGTTCGAGTTTTCTTTGAAAAAATAGGTTTGCTGAGAGGGGGCCCCCTTAAGAAAATTTTTAAAAGGAAAGCGACTATGTCCAATTCTCCCTAAATACATGAGAGGAATAAATGACAACAAAAGTAAAAAAAAAATAATTTCTGTAAGAAAACTACATCAGTATTACTGTTTAAGAAAATGAAAAACATGAAAATTACTTATCACTGAATAATTCTTGACTGAAATATTAAAATGAAAATAATTCCGTCTTGGTTATAACAAAGCAAGTGTTGCTTTTAAAAGTATCTTGTGAACACTATAAAAATAACGTAAGAAAAACAATTTTCCAATAAAAAACATTTAAATAAATAATAAACTTTTTTTTGCTGAAAAACCTTTTCTATATAAAGACAGAAGAAGCAATAAAATGATTTTTGTCTCTTTTACATTATTATATTAAAAGAAAGAATGAACCTAAATTCTATCAAAGAATGTTCAATGTTTAAATGTCAGCATATTTTATATTTTAGCCTGCTGTGCACGCGAAAAATGTGTCTTCACTTATTCTTGTTCTCTCAAAACGAGCAAATTCGATGAGAAAGTTCATATTCAATGAATATGACGAAATGTTCACCGACCTTTTTTTTTCGCTCATCCATATGTTATTGTTTATTCAATTTTTAACGTCAAGGAAATAGAAGAAAGGAAATATACAAATAATTGAAAAAGTGTAACAAAAGAAACAACTATCTATAGTTTTCTGTATTCGGAGATTTTTATTGAAATTTCCAGTAACATTGTGTAAATTGTATTGATACATTCAACATGTTACAATTTTTATTTTTTATACTATTACAAAATATTTTTCTAAAAATAAATTTTCGTTCAAAATTCTTTCCATAAATAAAATTTGATGAATGACATACGAGAAGTTTCTATTGGCGAACTTCGCAAATTGTGTGAACATAATAAGAACGGATATGCTAGCGACATTCGATACCGATCTTGTTGTCGTTTACAAGCATAATCAACTGCTGAATACAATCATCATATTCTTGATTTCATGCTTTTACAATATTCATGGAGCTTATCAAGTGAAACCAATGGCTTTTTGACAAGAATCAAATGAAAAAAATCATTAATATGGAAAATATCTTTTATTGATAAGCGATCGATTGAAATTCAAAATCTTATCAATAGAAATATCAACTGTGATTTTATTTTAATGCAGTATTTTATTTTCTGCCAACATTGTTCTGTGTCTTGTATATAAAATTAATAAATTGTTTTTTTGTATGAATGGATCATTATTGCGAATAGATCAAGGCATAGAGAAGATTCATTGTGAACTTGGCTGATATGCAAACCCTGCACATTGTCGTTTTTTTTATAAATAGAAAAAGGAACTTTTTCTTCAAGAAATTATTGTTAATTCCTAGATATTTTATTTCCATAGTATTAAAATATCTAATATAATTAAATAGAAAGTCGATGAGATTATAAACAGTTACAAAATTATTCTTTGAAAAAAGTTTGCTGTTTCTGATAATTTTCGTATTAAAAAATGAAATGGAAATTCGTTATTTAACCAAAAAGTCTTACGGTTTCAGTATGAATGAAAGAAAATGAAAATCACTTTCATCCCGAGATTAGCTATAGATGTCTAGGAAAGGTTTTTGCTATACCTGAACCCTACCTTATTATATGCTTGTCTCAGCCTTACCGTACCCTTTCGTAAAGAACAGGATAACCTAGAACATCCGTAGCATCAATATTTGATAATCAAGAAAAGACCTTGTATCAATTCTATCCTTATAGCAAAGCATGCAAATAAACAGATTAAATTAGTAAAAAGATTCAAGCGCTGTTCTTTTCATTTTTCTTAGGGACCATTCAAGTATTACGTAATCAACTTTAAGGGGACAGGGTAGTTGCGTAGCCAGAAAATAAAGCTGGAGGAGGCTCAGCCCCTCCGGACGTACCGAAGTTCTAGACACAAAGGACACTAACAAATTTTGCAGTAGTGTTATAAATTTATTTTTCGCTGCTCTTCTTTTCAATGATTTTTTTAAACAAACATCGCGCAGCAAAAACTTTTTTCTCTTAGTAAAATTTATATTTTTTGAAAATGAAACAATTGTAGAAGAAATAAACATTCATTATTTGTTGCAGAAGGACATGACGCTGAAGACGGTAGCTTCTTGAAACAGAATAAAAATGATTGGCTCGAAACTGTACAATTCATTCGAATAGGAACTCTCGATTTTGGAGTAATAGGCACCAAACGATGTCATTTATTATCTTTGATTGTCGAAGCCACTCAATAATTAATGACATCCTATTTCATATTCAAAACTGAAATGAAGAGAAGAAGCCAGCAAATCGAAACGTTACAGAAACGATATAATTTGCGAAACGAAAATTTTTAAAAATGCAAGGAAACTGTGCACTGCACTATTTTTTAAGAAATATCTCTTGAAAATCTGAACTTTTCTCGGTTATAAATGCTCGCGAGCATTTGGGTGTGGGTGGGGGTATGGGGTGTGGGTAGGTGTGGGGTGTGGGTGTGGGTGTGGGGTGTGGGTGGGTGTGGGTAGGTGTGGGGTGTGGTGTATGGGTGGGGTGTGGGTGGGTGTGGGCGTGTATGCGAGGGTGTGGGTGTGGGTGTGAATGGTGTGGATGTGGGTCTTCTTTTCATCCACCCCCACCCCTACATCCATGCCCACGGCCACACTTACACCGGTACTCACACCCACATTCTCACACCCCACAACCACACCCACACCCACACCCACACCCACATCGGTACCTACATCCACATTCTGACGCTCCACGACACCCCACATCCACAACCACACCCACATTCTCACACCCCACACCCACCTCCACTCCATCCACATCTCACACACACCCACACCCTATGCCCCACCGTCCTCAAAGGGTTAAGTAGGACAGCTTGTGTTGCGTTCTTGTGAATTAGTGTTTCATAGAAAAGAACCTACTCTATAATCGTTTTTCTCCAGTCGTTACTATCGTCATAGATGTAAGTGATTGATGCAACAATCTCTTTAGGAGACTCAAGAAGAGACCTTCGGAGACTATATTTTAGTAAGAAAAATACATGTATGGCAACACATGCATCAAAAATGTTGGAGGAGAAGAAGAGAATTATTTTTTCACTTTTGAAAGCAACAAAAGTCAACAAACAATCGCCGTTGCCATCGACCTTCAATGTGCATTATTATTCTGATTTTTTTATTTTTTTTAAAGTGTTTTTTTGTTATGTTTTATTTCTTCTTCTCACAATTCAAACACACACGTTTTCATCATGGGTACGGCTTCAACTAAACCAACAACGGCAAACAATCAGCCTAAAGCTGCTGCTCCAGTTATCCATCAAACTATAACATCAACCCGTCGTGCATCAATCAATAGTAACAGTGGTGAACGTAGACCATCAGTTATTAGTGGAGGGAGAGAACGGCGACCGTCTCTAACAAGAGAACCATCGGATCTCACACGTCCAACAGTAGCCAGCAGCAACAAAACTGTCGACAGTGATCATCGGCCTCGACGTGCCTCAGTTCAACCGCGCACTTCGACTGTAATGGAAGAACCACCAGCAGTGAAAACTTCTACAAAGACGAAAGCGCCGTCAAGTAGCTGGAATATATTCAGGAACATTTGTGGAAAAGGCGGCACTGCGTAGAAAAAAGAATGACGCAAACGAACGAAGCTTATAACACATCCCAACCTTATTGATTTACTTTTTTTAACTCTCCATAATAAATCCTTGAAGACATTAATTAAAGGTAGTAAAACGAGTTTGTGTTCTCTCCGAAATTGCGTTAGAAAGTTTTATAACCGTCTAGCATTGAAACTATAAGAACATTGCTTTGAAAACAGTTAGATAGTAATGTAGCCAGGAATTTTGTTCAGAGTGGGCTCAGTCTATGTCCTTTTCTAAAGTCTATTGCAAGTACTATGAAATTTTGTTTACTAATCTCGCTACCCAGGTGATTCAATCCGACCTGTGGATCTGACCGGAAAGGATCGGTTCTACTATTGGATTGCATCGGAAATCGACGTCTTTCATCAAAAAGCCGATCTGATTACGCTAGGAGAGATTCTGTCAGATCTCTTCAAAACCGATAGCCCTACCTGATCGAATTTATCCAAATCCTTCCTCTGACAAAATATTGCAGGCATCAGATTTATCTGATTCTAACCAGGATGCCTCTCGAACACATTTTAACATGAGTACTTCCAAATCAGCACACCGCCAGAGTCCCACAAGATCGCCAAAAAACCAGCGGATACGATGCCTTTGCTGCTCTATTTCACACCGTGATTGCTAAGCCAAAAATCGTTTCTCATGAACTGATTCTTAAAACAGAGCACGACAACAAGTGAACAGATCAAAACTTCAAACCAACGAACTATAGATCCACCAGTATAACCTCACCTTATCAATAACCAGTAAAAAACCAGCGCAACATATACTTGACAACAGCAAGATATCAGAAAAAGTCATTTCGATCATTTCTAAACGAAAAATCTACCACAATATGCCTACGATTCACTGAAAAAAGAGCAATGAGCAAAACCATCATTTTTTCTCCCATTAATATAACTCACGAAACGAGCATTAGACAGAATGTTTGGCTGAGGGCAAATGCCGCGAGAAGCGACATCCATTTAGTCGGATGGAAACCTCTATTGGAAACTGCTCTGCACGGTGGGCAATCAGGTGGACATGACCTCAAGTTCTATTTTCCAAAGTTCAAATATTGGAACGAATACATCTATGGTTAGTCTATCTTATCCTACAACTAGATTTTCAGGAAAGCCCATCTTTAAATAATTTGCTCACAAATCGATAATTATACGAAGATCATTTCTGTTATCAACTTACGAAAATATTTTAAAATTGAAGTCTATCTGAAACGAATAATTAGCTGGTAAGCTTCATTGTGTGAAAAATTATTTCGATCGAATTAGAAATCCAGTAAAATAGTAGCGATTACTAGGCCGAAACGTGATAGAAAAAATCATCTGACTATAGTTTGTGAACGCGACAAAGAGTTCTCATCCAATTGAGCAAAAATTTGCACCAATTATTTTCCTATATGAGCCAGTCCAAATAAGCCACGACCGATTTCCACAGAAGCTGCTCAATCGAGGTCGTTCGATTTTGCTCAATTTAATATATGTTGTAGAGGCAAGAGTTCTAAGAATTTTGACGCAAACCGTTTGAAAAAATATTGTTCTGTTCTCGAGATATTGAAATTTTTCTGAGAGCACTATCGTCAAAAAACCACATTTTTTTGTGATTTTTTGGGTGTGGGTGTGTGGATGTGACTGTGGGCGTTAGTATTTCCGTCATCAACATCAACACCCACACCCACAACATGTCAGCCTTTATCCTAGAAAAATCCTTCAAGTTTTTCGAGAACAAGTATGATCGATAGTTGACTTCGACAAACTCAAAAAGAACAAGAATGGACTTATTTCCTTCAATAGTTTTTTATCCACCAGTACGGATCCAGGTATCTCTCGCGGTTTTGCCCCAGCAGCTGTAGAAAAACTCGGTATGGTGGAAATCCTTTTTTAAATGTCAACAGATCCAACCATCCCATTGAGTTCATTTGTTTCTATCCGTGGGCTGAGTTATTTCGTGGAAGAAAATCAAATCCCGTTCTCCATGCCCACCGTCTTTTCGAATTGGTGAACTTTGAAAACTTGCCAAAGAAAGTTTACTATATCAAGTAGATCTGAAACTGACGTCCGATGAAGACCAGCAACTGTGTCAACTCACAGAAAGCATACTAGAAGAAACTTCGCATACGACATGTTGGACACGGTTGTGCACATTACTATCAATCATAGGTCAATTTACCCAGGTCGAAAACTTTTACACTGCACTACTAGAACAAACATCCAACGACGGTACTAGGGCTATAATTTATAACAATCTTGCACTAGTGAGAAACGATCTAGGACTATAAACAGAAGCAGCAGCACTTTACGAAAAATCTCTCGAGATTAAGCGAAAAACGCTTTCAGGAGATCATTCTTCAGTGGTTACTACTTACTATCACATCGGCCAAGTGTATAATATAATGGGTAACTGTTCGGAAGCACTTGAATTTTATGAAAAAGCACCTGAAATAAGAGAGAAAGTTCTACCTCCGAATCATCCCAATTTGGCTATTTCCTACAACAACATCGGTATGGCGTATACCAACATGGGTAACTACTCGAAGGTAATTTCTTTTCTAGAAAAGACACTTACTATAGCACAAAAATCACTTCCACCAACACGTCCTCAATTTAAGACAATGATAGGTAACATTAATCGCGTAAAAACGATGTGAATTTGTTGTCTTTTTGTTTGCTCAATATATTCGTTTCTATTGCTAGGCTTCCTATCTGGTTTTTCTCGGCTCTTTGCCATACATGTGCGAGCGTAGAGTGATCTTCGGCGAATCTGAAAGAGTTGAAGCGGTGCAGACTATGCCGGACTGATGTGACGTACACAATGTGCGACAGAAATCGTATGAATATAGGGACTTTGAGAGTACTAAACTGCTTTGATGTTTTTGGAACGGGGAATATCCCTGCTGAGGCTACGAAGCCAGCTCGAGGTCTGTGATAAGAAAGAAAAATAGATGTTGCTCTTAAAAGTACATTACCATAATAAGAGGAATAAATGATTAACTCATGATTAAATTTCTCGCTTTTCTGTGTATTACTAATGAATGCTACATTCCAAACATCTAACTTTTCCAGAGCGACTAAAATCAATCTCACAAACACCCACTAACGTCCCTTTTGTATAATTAAAAGAAAATATACACCCTGAACAAAAACGATGAAATCGATCTTCGCCACATCGACACCTACAAATGCTCATGATCTATCTTTTGATCCGAAAATGTGCCATCTCGAAATTGCTTTTCTTAATAAATTTTTTCCTGGAAACGTTAAAAAAGCGCGAAAAACAAAATAAGTTCCCTCAACACAGTATCACCACATTAAACACCAGTCACATCCAACTTATATTCATTAACATTTATAGAAATATTCAATTGACTTGTCTCTGGATACAAGTAAAACAAATTGCGTAATGTATTCATAGTGTGGGTGGCTTAAAATACGAGAACAATACCTAAAAATGAGGGAAAATGGCTTAAACAAGGAATAAAAGAGCTGAAATACACAATATCATCTGTTTTAATTTAAACATATGCCCGTTGTATCGACTTAGTATTGACAAACATCAAGAAGATAATATTCACTTCCTACTGGCCTTTCACTGATGGTCTGCGAAAAAAAGCAATAAAGAGGATCAACAATCAGAAAAAAAAGAAGATTTTAAATAAAAACAAGGAAAATTACGTAGCTCTTTTGTTTCAATTCCCAAAAGTGTAAGAAACACTCGAAGCGAAAGGAAAAATTCGATCTCGAAACAAGTATTCCTTGTTGATTTCAGTTTGGTGGTGGCTCTCAATCATCGATCGAAACCGAGTCAAGTCTAGTCTAGTTCAGTTTGACTCTAGGAACTCGATTGCTTAAATAGTTTTCAATAACTCTTTCGACATTTTCTCGTCATTGGCTGCTACTATCATTTAGCGAATCAGTACGATAGAATAGTAACTCATGGCAGTGAATTAGTCGAACAGAGTAATATTATGAATAAACGGTCATGAACTGATGATAGTGAATAGATCACAATAAGTGACCTATACTGTCTCTCATGATTGTCAATGCATCACAGTGTATTTAGAGACTAATTAGCCTCCAATGATGCGACCGATCACGGATATACATATATATAAGTAATCTATACGGCAACACGAGACTGAATCATTCTTTTTCTTGTCATCTTTCTATATTATCATGCATCAAGCACATTTTGTTACGAGTTTATATCGTTCATTCTTTCAGCATGTGAATGTGGATGAAGAGACAACTAACACCTATCTACATCCCAATCGAAAGAAGCTGAGTAAGAACATGTTTTGAGATAATATTATATAAGGTGAAATCATCACCTAACCAATCTTTTTTTGGGAATCTTTCTAATAATGTAATGTAGTTTCAATGAAATTCTCATCCTAATATATATATTAGATAGAGAGAGTTCCACTCTATTGTTCAAGAAGCAGTGTGAATGGTTATGTTCCCACAATCTAATGTTGATCAAATAAATTTGATCCTTTGCTTGCTAGAGTACTAGGAAATTATGTTGATTTTTAACCAATTTTTTTCTACATTCCATCAAAATGGCTTGTTGTTCCGATGAAAATTTGGTTAAAGCCAACGTAATTCACTATTATTTTGGTAAGCAAAGGATCGACTTGATTTGCTCAACGCTAGACTGTGGGAAGATGGCCATTCGCCTTCTAACTTGAACACTACAGCTGAAATTCTTCTATCTGATATGAATATCAGAATGGAAATTTCATTGAAACTACATTACATTATGATACATTATTCGAAAAGATTCTCAAAAAAAGATTGATTAGGTAATAATTTCACCTTGTATAATATTACATCAAAACCGGTCCTAATTTAGCCTCTTTCTATTGGTGAAAACTGCAGGTCGCCAGTGATTGCCATTCTTAAGAGATTCGTCTTTCATCAACCAACACTTAATTTTAGTGTCGACAATAGAAGGCAGTTTTTAGTGCAAATGACGATGTATTTTTATAAAATTTTTCACAAAAATACTAATGAAACAGCAGAAATTATCTTGTTTATTTTATATTCATATTAATACAGTACACTTCACAAGTTTACAGTAAGACTATGTTTTATTCAATATACAGCCAAATAGTTAGCTGGTCAACACCGTGGTGTTCCCAATTAAACGCTGCAAAAGTTGATTTATCTCGTGTAAGACAAAGCCATTTGCGAATTTCAGTCAATACAATATGTTTTCGTGGATATGGAGGTGCACGAACAAATGTATATGACACGTGAAGCATATTAAAAAAATGATTAACAGAAGTAAAAGAATCAATCAAATTCTGTAATATATTGATTAGTGGCTTGTCCATTAGATAAAAATCTCCATACAATAACAAATGTCGTAGATGCGGAAATAGTAGAGCCAACATTGAGCTATTCACTAGTTCATAACTGGGTTGTGATCGTTCAAAGTACAAGAATAAACTTCGAAGACGATACGAGGGTGGCAAAGAAGAGCAATAACGACCTAATTCACTCACTACGCTTCATGGAACACTGAGACATTGAAGATGAACTGCATTATTCAGTATATTTCCTAGTAAACTTGCATACATTACTGCTTGTGTATCATCAATACCAATTACTTGCAGATGTAAAGAACGAAGATGAAGAGGGGGAAAATAAGAATTGTGTTGCATGAAATCCTATCAGAAGACAGTGTAAACAAAAGAAAATTATGTTATATGAAAGAAAATAATTTCTTACCGATACTGCAAATCCAATTAGTGGCATGTGCCAATGCCATTTTAAGTAATATACACGAGGGAGAATTCGTAAACTATGTTTAACAATGTCCGATGAATGTAAATTGATGCTATCAATATTACTACTTTTGAACAACTACACCAAATGTTGTACATTGACTAGTCCATCATGATCAATAGCATGTGTAATAAATCGATGATTTACCAAGATGCAATCATTTTGGAAATCATATGGATAGGTATAGATGACTAACATTGCAGAAGACAAATGTTCTTCAATGATATGACGTACGCGTCATCCTTTTGAGAGCCAATCATTAGTATTAAAAACTAAATCACCGAACTCCGTCGCTTCGTATTCATAACGCAATGTAACAGGCAGACACAAAGAGAAACAGAAATAATTGAGTGAGAACCAAAGAGAACTTGAATGTACAGCTTGTCGAAATTCGATGAGTTGATCCAATACTAAAAATAATATTCGATTTTCATATAGTAGATTAAATATTATTGCTCGATTCAGAATAAAAGACGATTGGTAATTTTTTGAATAAATTTCGACGAAAACAAGATAGATACCTGTGATTTTCACCATCCGAAAGAGCAATGTTCACAATAATCTCAGCCTAATTTATATCAAAATGTAGCTGAAGTCAATCTTTTTTTTTTGCTATGAAATTCTCATACGTTTCTGTAAATCAGCTTGGAATAAGTGGTTGAAAGATAATGAAATATGATACAGTTTTATAGCGAAGAAAGGCTGACTTGAATTACATTTTTGATATAAATTGAGTTGAGATTATTGTGAAAATACGCAAAGAATAATGCAGATTCAGAAGTACCTTCAAAAAAAAATACCTTTCGCCTTAATGAATTTTATACAAATGGATAGTTCGAACATCACTTTTTCGAATAGTAAAAACCATAGGTCTCTATTTCGTCCCTGTCGAAATTTATTCGAAAAATGACCAATCGCTTTCTGTTTTGTATCGGGCAATAGCAGTAAAGCACATTTTACTACTACTTTACTTACATGAAGTCTGCACACGAATGAATGTCAATGATTTGAGATTGGGCATTATCACATGGCGAATAATCAACAAGACATTGCTCATCGAAAAATCACTGCCACGCAATGTAAGTGTATGTAAGTGCATCATATTCATTGTTGCTAAATAGGACTCGTTCAATATGTTCTTGGGTTCATAAACATATTCTAAATTACAAACAATTGACACAGTATGTTTAAACGTCACAATTAAATTTTCAAGACAAGGCGTTGCACTTGGTTGTAATAGGATTAACAGTTCTGTGAAGCGTTACAGAGACAACGTTAAATTGACAGTGCGTGAGAAATAAGGCTGCCGTCCAGAAACATCAATTAAAACGTGTAAACTTCCTCGATATGTGTCGTACCGTGTATTTATTCCTATTGGTATAAAGAATTCGAGTAAATTACATATTAATTACTTTTTTTTTTTATTATATCTGTAAAGAAAGTCAACTAAATACTTATTGATTTCTATACTGTATTATGAAAAAAAATCTATAATATCAAGAAAGCTTCCATTTTCGTCATCAAAAGTTGGATTTGTAAACAAGCCTAGATAATTTATAGAATCAACATGTAAAATGTAATTAAAATTTTTTTAGTTTATGAAACCATTAAGTTGAGCATATAAGAAGAGTAGCAAATGTGTCATCTCATTAATATCACAAGTTAACAAATTAAAAAGTATCATTCTTACTACTATTTGTCTCGATTTATAAATTATACAGACATATATTGAAATATGATGAGAAACTGAATTGAATGATTAATCTCAATGACGAAAGAAATCTATAGTTTGTTTTTTCATTAGTGTCCATACCGTCAGTTACGTGAAAAATCATTTTATGACAAGAAGTCCGTAAGAAGATGAGTTCATGAAGTACTGCAACATACCATTGATCGGCATTGACAGAAATGAATAGAAACTTGTCAAGTTATCCGATGATATTAGTACCAGTACCACAAGTAAGAACAATAGCAAGCGGATTGAAAACTTTTTTTTGAAAAAACTCCATATTAGAGAGAGTGAATTCCCGTACAGAACGCAAAAATGGAGGTACGCCGTTATTAGCCCATCGAGAGAGAATATCATAAACGTAGGCTACATTGCAAAAACCATTCAGTATTAATGAGCGAATAAACATATTCAAACAACGTATACGAAAACCATTTTGATCATCTACAAAAGCTTGATAAAGAGAATACGAACAATGACCGTCATGAAAAGCCAGAGTACAACGATTGTTGCTATTTTCAGTAAGCAATTTATTCAAACGATAGCAGACATCAATTAGTGAGTATCCAATGTTGAAAAGTGTCAATTAAGTTCAAATTTTAAATAACAGTTCATCCTGTTTCATTAATTTATAGTGTATATATTTTTTCGACACATATATATGTTGTATCATCCGTTCATGTTGATCAACTCATATCAATATTATATTTTGTTGATTAATTTATAAATAACAATAACAAATCGAATGAAAACTTGATCATGCAATACAATATTGTCTCTTCATAGTCTTAAAGAATTTATTTTATTTTCAATATAATTTTTGCGATAAAAAAATAATCTCGACAATTGTCAACATATAATAAAAATACAAGTTCTCATTTTACTGCCAACTTTTGTCTGTTTTTTTGACATATAGTTTTGATCGTCAAGAATCTTTCATGTTTGTTTAGTTTTGTACTTTAATATTATAATACACCAATGATGTATTGTTATAGTATTATTTAAACGAGCCGATCATCACTTGTATAGAACTGAGTGACTTTAAAATCCAAAGATTGTCGAAAGAAATCTATGTATTATAATCAAATGATTCTGATTCTCGATATTCTTCTTGTTTTTTTTCTTCTTCTTTATTAACATCAGTAAATAATATATGTAGTTAATTTCATTTATTAAATCAGTTATTCTATCCAATTTATGAATTATTTTGCACAAAAATAAATAGAAAAGAAAAATCATAACAACAACCGTAATATATATATATATATATGTATAATACACTGAAGAATGAAATAGAAATAAAATGACACTCGTTCACAGACAAACTACTTAACAACAAAAAGAAAAAAAAAAGAATTCTTTTTAAAATGTATGAATAAATAATATGACATTAAAAAGAAAAAAAAATGACATTGTCTCTTTTAATAAATGGAAGACCGGTGATTTAATCAAATTATAAGAATAGAATTCATTATATTGGTTGAATATAATTAGCAGGTACATAACCACGTTGTCGTGTATCATTAAGTTTTTCAACATACCACCAATCATCATTTCCACCCTCATCAAGACGACGTACAATTTTTAATCGTTCACCAGCATGTAAAGAAAGAACACCATCACTTGTACATTCAAAATCATACATTGCTACATAAATCTAAATTATAAATAAAAAACTTTTTTATAAACAAAAAAAAAAAAGGATTTCTTTTTTTAGGTTTAAATTTATACTTGTTCTTCTTCAATTGATTCAGAAATAATAGAATCATCAAGATCAATTGAAGCATATTGATGACATTCATTTATTTGATTTAAATAAATTCGTTCCTTTTCAATATCATTTGAAGAATTTATTAAATTAGTTTGTGGTTCTGTATTAGCTCGTTTAAATAGATGTTTTCTATTTCCATGATGAGATTGATCATAATTAAATGCTGGATTAGCATGAGCTGATGAAAGTGATACTCGTGTTGGTATTCCTATATCATGACGAAGTGGAGTTGGTGGTGTATGTGATCGATGACCGGATCGATCATCAGATGATAGAGGAATAAGTATTGAACGAGGTACTAAACCTCGAGTAACTATAAATATATTTAACGAAATAAATAAATAAATAAATAATAAACTTTTTCATACTTCCATTATCGACAAACCAATTTGCAATGTTGGAATCTTTTGTTTTTATATCATTTTGATTAATTACAGCAACAAGATCACCCTATTTAAATGAACAAGATTTTTTAAAATATATTTCGAAATTTATATAATAAATGCATTTACTGATTCAACTTTCTATATGAGTCTTTAACAAATCATATTTGTTGCACTTTTTTTTTTTTCATTTAGATCCGATTTTCTGACATACAGTCATAGACCACTTCTCATCGACTTAAACCTACTACAGTAAACATCGAGTAGATATACAAAATAGACAAAAAAGAATAATGACATGAAATTGGTGTAATAATAATTTATTGAAAAAAACTATCGATATAAGACTAACAAATATAATTGGCTTAAGCATGCTACAAGTTTATATAATCGATTGACATTTTCTTAATCTTGCTTTATTATGAAGACATTTTATCAACAGATAGTTAATACCAACTAAATAATCTATTTAAATTGAAAAGAAAATTTTTTTTTTCTTTTTGTCCAATAATATGTTCGTTTTATTAATTACGAACAAGAATGAAATATTCTACTTGATCTATATTTCTAACGAGTCATATATTTTCTTGAACTATTTAACAACAAACACAATCATTAATAGTAATGATCAAATTCCATGAATTTTGAAAATATGCATGACAATATCTATTTCATTTAAAACACTTAAATTGATCTATTATCTAAATTTCAATAAGTTTTTGAGTTCTCAAATTTATGATACGTCTCATGATTAAGTATACTACGTTCTAAAAGTCGATTGGGATAAAAGAAAAGTTTTATACATAGTCAAATTTGAGTTACCTATGGTTGTGAAAGTAGTACAATAAAAACATTCTGAAAGATCATCAGAAAATCGATGAATGTTCCATTTCATAAACAACTTAAATTATAATCAATATTACTTACACTTCTAACAATAATATCCATTGTACGATTATTTGTTTCATTTCCATAATTTCGAATAATTGTATATAAATCTTTTTCAGCATAACGAGTTCTTAATAAACGTCTAATTTCATCTGTTTGTACATATGTATCCTATTTATTAAATATATAATTAAAATTACTAATAAAAAGAAAGAAAATCTCTTACAAACCTTATTACTATTATAAACATTATTCATTGAAGATAATTTTATTGTTGATAAATTTTTTAATTTATCTGAAAAATTTTTTGCTGTTATTGTTAATTGAAATAATTGTTCAGCAGGTGGACTATTTTTTAATGTAAATCTTTCAACTATTTGTAACCAACTTAATTGTCCAGAACTAACAGATGATCTTGTCTATAAATAAAAAAAAATTTTCTTTTTACATTAATATTACAAAATATTCATACTTGATTAAATATATATTGAATATTTATTTTCATATTTTGTATTAAACGAAGATGTCCTATAATAAATGCTTTTAAACATATAGATAATATTTCACAACTATGTTCATATAAAATAGGTAATTCTTCTAATAATTGACTATTTAATGCTTCATATGTTTTTTTTGCAAGATCAAGTATTTGTTTAGCCTAGAAAATTAATTAATTTAAAAAAAAATAAAAAAAAAATATTATTCAAATACTTGTCTTGATTGTTGATCTTTAACTTTTTCATATGCTGATTGTGCACTATCATAATCTAATAATTTATCATGTCGTTTAGAAATTAAATTTGATGGTAAAACAAATAATTTTATTAATGTATTTATTGGATTTGCAACACATGATTCCATATGAGTACACTATATTATAAAAGATTAAAATAACAAAAAAAAAAAAACTAAATAAATAAGATATTTTACAAATTCTGTAAATGCATTTTCAAGTAATGAACGTTTTGATCGAACAAATTGTTGTGCTATTTCAGGCATTTTATCCGATAATAATTCTTGAAAATCTTCAGCAACATTTACTTCAGTAACAAATGTTTCCTATACAAAAAAAAGAAAAATATTCATAAGAATAATTATTAAATTTCAAGTAAATCCAATGACCGAATGAAATTATTACAGATCACATATTGAAACAAAGACAAAAAGTTTTAGATCATGTCTAAACTTCCTTGAAAATATTTAATAGAATAAATTATCTGAAGTATTTTGTCAATTTTGAATGTACTTCACGTTTTTGGACTTTTTCACTATGTTGTCTTTTGATGAGAAAATCATCCGCTTTTTGTTGTCTATAATTAATAATCATAATCCTGAAAATTCCAGTTAAAAAAAAAGACATATTTGAAACCTAATCTGTTTTAGATTATTCTTAGAATCATGAAAAATAGTTATAGACAAAAATTTCAGTTCTCTTTAGATTGACATTTATGTAGACTCTTATGTATTACGAATACTCAAAATAGAGTACATGTCCATAGTTTAAACATGGTCGACATATACTATTTATCAATATAATATCGTGACTCTTCCATCAGGAATCTTTCAAGAAAAAGCTTGAAGAGAGTATAGTTTACTATATCGGTCATATATACACACTTACAGATTCAATGTTCTTATTTCTAAGTATTCATCATAATATATATAGTTTCAAAATGAAAACTTACTTTGAGTGCTTCCATACAAGTATAAGCATTTCGAACAAATAATCTTAAAAATTTATCAATAGCACGAAATCTTTGTTCTTCAAAATTAAAACGTTCATCAATTGTATGTGTTGATAAACCAAATGCACTTGATAAACGCATACTAATACGTGCAGATTTTTTTCTCATTGTATGCATATTTAATTTATATAATTTATTTGTTAATGCTTCATCTTTTTCACGTCGTTGATATTTTGAAACTAAACGAGAAACATTTGATAATTGATATTGTTGTTGTCGTTTTTTTATATTAACTGATGATAATCTTGGTAATGGTGGCATTGATGTATTACGTCGAAATATACTAACATGATATGGTTCTATATTATCATCAGTTACATTAGAATTACTTATACTTTGTACAAGTATATAACGTGTTGATTTTGTCAAGGCCATTTTAAAATATGTGTGAAGACAAAACACGCTTATATGAATGTGAGCCGATAAAATAAAAGATACATGAGCTGTTGATCGTATGTATGTAGGCGATTATGCAAAAAAAAATGCTTGTACATCTATCTGTCTCTTGCTCTTTTACTTTTCTCATTCTTGTCAATAGAAGAAAAAAAAAAGTTCCTTTTGTCTCTCTCTCTCTCTCTCTCTCTCTCTCTCTCTCTCTCTCTCTCTCT